TGCTGAAAAATATACATGTAATTAAATTAGATAAAGTCAGAATTTTGGGCAAAATTTATTTTTTAATGTTGTTTTGTCTGTTTAGTTCCAGTGCTGAAGATTATGTGCAAAGTCTGCAAATTGGAGCATTTTCCCAGAATTTACATGAAAATATTAAAAATAAATTCCAAAATGTAACTCTCTCTGTATTTTCTGCAATACAAAGGATGCATTTGTATCTAATTGCTAAATAATTCAGTTAATTTGTTTATGCGGGTCTAGTGTGGCATTAGGTCAGGTATGCCACAAGCCACCCTCAGCTCAGCTTGATATATTTGTGTGTATACTACTGGCAAGTTACATAAAAAGCACCAGCTACTTTAGCCTGCCTGCAGTTGCTGCTCTCACTGCAAGCCACTTTGCAACCCACCGCCAACTGCTCACTCTGGCTTTTCCATATATGCTCGTATAGACAAATAGAAATAATTTCTCTGCAGATGTAAATAAAAATCAGTATTTTTCTCTTTTTGTTTGTAGCCAATCAGCCTGACTCAAAAGTATGTATGCCTGCCTACCTCTTCCCATTCCCCGTGTCTCGTCAGACCCACAATGCCACAGAGTATGAGTCTTCCATAAGTAAGTATTTATTCACATCTGTGTTTTTTATGTAGTGATTTCATTTTTTAGTGTCACACAGCTGATTAACATCCCTCTTGTTCAGCTTACAGAGGTTTCTGGAGCGTCTTTATGCTCATTGCTGTAGCAGCTGTGGTGATTGGCGGATTCATCATCATCTGCGCTGCTCCGTTTGCCGGCCACCGCTTGTATAAAGCAGGGGGTGGCCTCTTTCTGATAGCTGGTAAGTAACAATTTTGGAGCAAAAACCAGGTGACACTGTGTTTGTTTCTTTTTTACATTGCCAGCATTTTAAAAAAAAATTTGACTAAAGTAATGACATGAAATGTACAACTCTTTTATTTTTTCCATGGTTAAATAAAGTTTAAATAAATAAATAAAATAAAACTAATAAAAGAGCTCTAGCTACAGGTGGATCTTCAGATGCACATGTTGCTTTTAAAACATATCACATTGAGATTTAAAATGAAACCTGTACAATTCTGCTTCCCCACAAATGCAAACATAATTTACTATAGAACATGTACATGTCTCTCCCACAGATGGTTAGATTGCTGATCTTATTAATCTGATTTGAAGCATATGTTGTCAAATCTCACTACCCCTCTCCGCACCTCTAGGTTTTTTCCTGCTGTGTGTGGTGGTGATGTACGTACTGTGGATGCAGGTGTTGGATGTGATAGACCTTTACATAGACCACCAGCGTGCTCTGTGTTCAGACTTCCATCTGACCTTCAGCTACGGTCTCTCCTTCATGTTTGCCCCAATCGGCATCTTCTTCTGCTTCCTGGCCGGCCTTCTTTTCCTCCTCATCGGCCGAACCATCCAGATTCACTCCCAGTAACTTACCAGCAGTAGAAGAAGAGCCCGAATGTCGGGATTGTATGAGGGTTTTATACTTTTCTCAGTCTTTCTGTCAGGAATCGGTTTGGCAATTATGTGGCACATGCTTGAATATTTTCAGCTGTTGTTGAGCTCATCGTGCTCACTCAAACCTGAGTCATTTTCAGCTCAGCTAAGATAGCACTGAGACTGCGGAGGACCCAAAACATTTAAAATGAAAAATAAATAAGAAATTAAAAAAATGCACAAAAATGAATATTAAAAATAAACCGAGGCGCTAATTTCTGAAATGTGCCATTAATTAATATTTCTGCTGGTCTTCTATTTATTTACCCTTCTGTTAATTTGCCTGCTTTCATATTTAATATTTATTACTTATTTAATTTCTAATAATGAATATAAAAGATTTTAAATGCATATATTAATTAAGTTAATTATCCCCTAGTTTTTTCCCTGAAACTTCCCCCAAAATTCAATTTTTTCAAATTTTCTTTATCAAAGAAAAAAATAAATACAGAAGCAAATGAAAATAGAAATATCAGTGTGTTGGGTGTTTTATAAATTGATCCGTGTCTGTGTTTATTTTGATGTAATTCTTAATGCATTTAATGGCACATTAATGCATTCATGACGACATTTAATTATGCTTTTATTGATTTTTTTTCATTCTTGAAGTTTTGGTCCTCTGCTGTATGAAACATTCACAAGAACAATGATTATGCTGAAGTGTCTGTGGAGCACAGCTTTATTAGAATCTCGTATGTCTGTGATATTTTGAGGTATTTTCTGAGTATTTTCATGAAATTCAGTCACCAGCTGTGACATGTTAGTATGGAAGAGTACTGTATGCTTGGAAATATTAAAGGATTGTGTATGGGTTGAAAATGTAATTAAAAAAATATAAAAGAGTTTGTAAAATTATCTACAAAAAGCTTCTAAGGTGGCATCGTGATCTGTGTGTATAGTAATGGGAATCAGTACTGGGAAATAACTTCTGTCAGCTCATTGCTTTAAAGGTTAAAGCTGGTAATTCTTGATATTTGTTATCCTCCATTAAACCCATGTTAACACCAAAACCATCAGTATTTTCCTCAAACTGCCATTCTCTGACTGTAAGCTGACTGTAAGGAAATATGAAAAAAACAAGTTTAACTGATCCTTAATTATGCCAGTGTTTTTATTTTTTAATCAAATATGACTCGAAGAAGAAAAAAAAGTTGAATTTTATTCTGTTCAGAGCTGAATATTAATACACTGGTGAGTATTTACACAAGCAGGTCAGCAGATGTGCATCAACTCAAATGAACCGTACCCACGTCAGTGAGTGCCAAAGGTATCCCTAATTTCTGTGTTTTAAATAGTTTCTGGATAACAGTGGAGCTCAGATTCATAAGCTACTGAGCCTCAAATTGTGGGTGAACAGTTTTATTGTTGGTTTTGGTGCTTTTTGATCATCAGGTGATTGCAGGATAATATTAATGCATCTCATTATGTTATCAGATATTTATTTGTCACTGTGTGTCAACATTTGCTTATTTGTCACCTAAAAGTGTGCATTTTTAGCTTTGACCACATTATTGGCTCGGCACAGGCAACAGTTTTATGTTAACGCTGTTCACAGTTCCCTTTCTCTTTGAGTTGTTCTGACTGC